CGCCCTTCATTGCCTGCTTTCCTCTCACATTCAGTCTAATTCACAGAAGACATTTACACAAATGTTCTTCCCGCTACTTAGGTCTCCTGCCAGTGCGAAAATCTAAAAGTAATGCTCAGGCAGTCCTGCCTCGCCCCATACTTACACCTGTTAACTCAGTCATCCATCTTTCAATCCTTCATTCGATTTGTTACATTGTCTGCCTGTGCTAGCTTGCTTTAAAATACAGCTTAATCACTTTGGGAGGCCGAGGAGGTGGATCACCTGAGGTCAGGAGTTCGAGACCAGCCTGGCCAACGTGGTAAAACCCCATCTCTGCTAAAAATACAAAAATCAGCTGGGTGTGGTCATGGGCGCCTGTAATCCCAGCTACTCTGGAGGGTGAGGCAGGAGAATCGCTTGAACCCAGGAGGCAGAGGTTGCAGTGAGCCGAGATCACGCCACTGTGCTCCAGCCTGGGTGGCAGAGTGAGACTCCATCTCAAAAAAATAAAAATAAATAAATAAAATACAGCTTAATGATTAATCTTTCTCTTATTAAATTGTTCTTTTTCCCTTCTTACTCTAACATATTCTTTTTCTTCCATTTTCCATGCCTTTTCTACTTGCTTTCCATTCTGTATCTTGATGTTCTATGCCTGATTCTATTCTCTGGTCTCCTGGCCTGTTCAAATCAAAGCAACACATATTGATCTCCATTTCCATTTAGGACTTCCCAATTATCCCCTGTTCCATTTAATGCATCCATTTGTAAAGCCTGTATCTTCGTGGATCCACTTTCCTTTTGATTAACTTCCCAATGAGGGCCATTGCCACAGCCACAGTCACTGCCGCCCCTGGCTCCAGGCCCAGGCAGCTCCTCTACTTCGGCCTTCGGCCCCAGCTCCTCCCGCACACCCCAGTGCCTGCAGGAGCCTTCACATCTGTCCTTAACTCTGCTGGGAAAAGAAGACGGCCCTGGGGCAGCCAGACACCAGTGAACAGAGGGACCTCTAGACCCTGGCATCCGAAGCAGACATGCCACAGCTTCTCAACCACAATAAAAGTACATTTATCGATTTCCTCTTGGGTCCAAGATCCATTTAGAAGTATGCTTTTGATGTTGTTGTTTTCCATTTCTCAGTCGTTGTCTTTTTTTTTTTTTTTTTTTTTTTTGCTCTTTAACTTAAACTGTGGCATTCATGTCTTGATTTCATTGCTTTGTGGTCAATGGACATGGACAATATACTTTCTGTCCTTTGTATTTAATTTGACTTTTCTTAGTGGCTTCAGATAGCGTTCATCTTTGCACTTGGTCCACAGGTGTCATAAAGATTTATTCTTTACTTGCAAAGTACAAAATTGAATGTGTGCCCCTTAACTCCACCTTATAGCTCCAGTGGTAACAGCCACCATCCACTGAGGGCTTGCTGTGTACGTGCATCTGTGCTGAGCCCTTTCCATGAATTTCTCTCATTCAGTCCCCAAGACCCTGCAAGAAATGTCTTTTGTGATCCTCTTTTTACTGATAAGGAAACTAAGGCTCAGAGAGGTTCAATAACTTGTCGACAGTCACATAACCAGAGACGTGGGGCTGGGATTTCAATTTAGCTCCGATTCCTAAGCTTGGGCTAGTTTATAATTAAAGTCTTCCATATCAGGGGCTCTTCACTTGAGATTCATGGAGCTCATGGGGGTGTCATAAACATCCCAGTTGCGTGCAAAAGACTAACAGACCTGCAGATGTACATTGGGCAGAGGAGGCTCCATTGAGCTCATTCACTGCTCTAAATGGCCAAGAACATTGCTCCATGTTTGGATTCATTTCTTGTTTATTCGATCTAGCAAAGAATAGGATGGAAGTTTACACATCCCTCCCCTCTTGGCTTTATTTCCATGTCTTTCTTCTGCTTGGTCTATTTTGTACTGTTTTTCAGCACATAGAGGCCTGTGACTGACTCCCAGCCTGGCTGGAAGCAGAAGACCAGCTACCAGCTCTTGGGCCAGGGCTGCTTTCTCTTTCTCTCTCTCTCTTTTTTTTTGAGCTGGAGTTTTGCTCGTCATACAGCACAATGTAAATGACACCTCCTTCTCGGCATAAAATGACTCTTCTGAACTAAATAACTATGTTTTGGAATCCAGGTGTAGCCCTTGCTGGCTGTTGCCTTGGGCCACACAGTTCCTTTCTCGGAAGCTTGGCTCTCTAGTAAGTTCTCCCATTCCTTAGGCTGGGCGCGGTGGTTCACGCCTGTAATCCCAGCACTTTGGGAGGCCGAGGCGCGTGGATCACGAGGTCAAGAGATCGAGACCATCCTGGTCAACATGGTGAAACCCCGTCTCTACTAAAAATACAAAAAATTAGCTGGGCATGGTGGCGCGTGCCTGTAATCCCAGCTACTCAGGGGGCTGAGGCAGGAGAATTGCCCGAACCCAGGAGGCGGAGGTTGCGGTGAGCCGAGATCGCACCATTGCACTCCAGCCTGGGTAACAAGGGTGAAACCCCATCTTACAAAAAAAAAAAAAAAAAAAGCTCTCCCATTCCTGACATTAAGGCCCTGGTCAGACTTAGCAGAAACCATCTAAGCCCATGAGGCCAGATACATGTGTCTACACCTAAGTTCCTGTTTCCTCCCAGCAGAAATATCTTCTCTCCCCAAATTCAACTAGGGAGCTGGCTCCAGGCTTCTTTACACCTGGGAGATTTGAAGCAAGACTCTTCCTTCTTAAACCTGGGCCCCCTGAGGAGAGCAGGATTTGAAGAAGAAAGTAAAGAAAGAAGCAGTCCTGGCTGAGTGCCTATAATCCCAGCACTTTGGGAGGCCGAGGCGGGCGAATTGCCTGAGATCAGAGTTCATGACCAGCCTGGCCAACATGGTAAAACCCCATCTCTACTAAAAATACAAAAATTAGTCAGGTGTGGTGGCAGGAGCCTATAATCTCAGCTACTGGGAAGGCTGAGGCAGGAGAATCACTTGAACCTGGGAGGCAGAGGTTGCAATAAGCCAAGATTATGCCATTGCACTCCAGCCTGGACGACAAGAGCAAAACTCCATCTCAAAAAAAAAAAGAGAAAGAGAGAAAGAGAAAGCAGTCCTGGCACCAAGAGCTGGTAGCTGGTCTTCTGCTTCCAGCCAGGCTGTGCCACTCCATCCTGAACACACACAGCTTCACAGAATAGCAACGTCAGATGAGGACACTGTGAAGGAGAGAAAACAGAGCCAAAAAAAGACCACTCCTTAATCATGCCCTGCAGACACAAAAACAAAGACCCTGGCAATGCCCTAAACAGCATGTATTCCCCTCCCGCCCAAGCTGAGCAATAGGGCTCTTCCCCCCCCGACACCCCCACCCCGCCTCCTAGATAAAAAGTATTACCAGACTCTGAATTACCCCTGCTTCCTGACAGCAGCCCATCCAGAGCAAAAGTCCGCCTCTTTGACTCCTCTCCCAAACCCCCTAACACAGCCCAAGATCTAACAAGCCCCTCCTGACGGTTCAGGGTTTCTGTGTGTTTGAAAGACGGTGGCAAGGCTGGAGTACACATTTGGCACACAGAAGGTGCTCAATCAAAATGGTTGCCATTTACATGAGGGGGCGGGACAGGAAGAGAAATCAGACAGAAAGCTCAAACAAGTTTATTTCAGGGAAGATAAAATAGTACTTATCAATAATTCAAAACCTCAGACCTACTGTTATCTAGCAGTAGCTTGAATGAGGAGGAAATTAACTACTAGTGCTTCCAAAATAACAAAACAATAAGAATAAGAATTTCTAGACAGGTGGCTCAGAGCTGTAATCCCAGCATTTTAGGAGGTCGAGGCGGGTGAATCACTTGAGGCCAGGAGTTCGAGACCAGCCTGGCCAACAAGGTGAAACCCTGTCTCTACTAAAAATACAAAAAAATTTAGCCAGGCATGGTGGCATATGCCTGTGATCCCAGCTACTCAAGAGGCTGAAGCAGGAGAATCACTTGAACCCACCAGGTGGAGGCTGCAGTGAGCCGAGGTTGCACCACTGCAGCATTGCCTGAGCAACAGAGCAAGACTCTGGCTCAAAAAAAGAAAAAAGAAAAAAAAAATCACAACGTCTCTTTCTCCTCTTGACCCTTACTTGGGCGCTGACTGTGTGCTCTCCACTCTCTATGCCTCATCTCTAATCCTCCCCAGAACCCAGCAGGTGAAGTAATCATTTGAGGGTTTTAATGGGTACAAAATGAAAAGAACCTTGTTCTAGAATTTCCATAAAGATGGAGTAAGCATGTTTTTCCCTCTTCTTCCCACTAAATACAAAAACAAGCCTAAACGTTTGATATAAAACAAACATAAGACGACTCTGGAAGGTGAAGAGAAGGCAGGCCAGCTGGGATGCGAGGGCCCACGTTAACAGCACGGCGGTGAGCTCCCTGGGTTGTGTTGTTTTGCTTCACATAGCTCATACTGAATACTAGGCAAGCCAGCAACCCAGAAATGTCAACGGGTAGCCTGAAGAAGCCCCAAGAAGAGCCCACGCTCTCTAACTAGAAGATCAGGCAAGGAGCAGCTTGGCAAGACAGGAAATGTTTAGATAATAACCACTCTGCTCCAGCCCAGCTCCACAGAAAACACTGCCCATGCCAGCAAAGGCCAAGGGGAGGGGCTGGATTTCTGCCCTGGCCAAGCCGTAGCAAGCCTCCTCCACTTCACCTCCAGGGTGGTGTTGGAGAGATCCAGAAGGAAGCTGGTGGTCCTGAGGCCTCCTCCACTGAGTCAGTGGAGACGACGCGGGGAGCCTGGACTCCAGCCCACCCTTGTTTCTGCCCCCTGCTGGGGCGGTGTCAGAAGAGCCCTGTTCAGAGTCAGGACTTTTACCACCACTCTGCAATGATAAGACCACCCCACATACACAGCGGCAGTGGAGGCCACATGGGAGACTGGAATTCCCACCCCTGCCCAGCAGTAACAAGAAGCCCCCTGCATCAGGCAGAAACATAAGCCAAGTAGAAAACCTGGACTTCCACCCTCACTGGGCAGTAACGAGGAAGACGCCCCCTATCTCCTCTACAACAATGTCAGAAAATCCTGCTGAAACCTAAGATTTAAGTAAGATCCAGAGTCTTATGATACCCAAAATGGTCACGTTTCAATCAAAAGTCACTTATCAGACTGGGCACAGTGGCTCACACCTGTAATCCCAGCACTTTGGGAGGCCAAGGCAGGTGGATCATTGAGGTCAGAAGTTCGAGATCAGCTTGGCCAACATGGTGAAACCCCATCTCTACTAAATAAAATAAATTAGTCAGTCATGGCGGTGCACGGCTGTAGTCCCTCCCACCTACTCAGGAGGCGGAGGCAGGAGAATCACTTGAACCCAGGAGGTGGAAGTTGCAGCAAGCTAAGATTGCATCACTGCACTCCAGCCTGGGGGACAGAGCAAGACTCTGTCTCAAAAATTCGCCATGTATGGTGGCGCATGCCTGTAATCCCAGCTACTTGGGAGGCTGAGACAGGTTGATAATTCAACCTCTGAACCTGGGAGTCAGAGGTTGCCATGAACTGAGATCACGCCACTGCCCTCCAGCCTGGGCAACCAAGTGAGACTCTGTCTCAAAAAAAAAAAAAAATCACTTATCATACCAAGAATCGGAAAGATCTTAAATAAAATGAGAAAAGACAGTCATCAAGATGACACAGATTTTTGAATTATCTAACAGGGATTTTAAAGCAGAAATCACAAAAATGTTTCAACAAACAATTAAGAACACATTTAAAATGAAGGATAAAATGGAAAGTCTCAGCAAAAAAAATTGAAGATATAAAGAACCAAGTAAAAATTTGGGAACTAAAAAAGTACAATAACCAAAATTAAGAACTGAATGGATATCTCAACACCAGAATGGATATAATAAAGGAAAGGATTAGTAAATGATGATGGAACAACAGGGAAAAAATAAATTGGGAAAAACATGAACAGAGTGTCAGGTACACGTGCAATTGTACGAGAAGATCAAACACTCATATTATTGGAGTTCTGGAGGGAAAGGAGGAAGAAAATGAAAGGAAATGAAAGGGTAAAGAGGGTGGTGCTGAAAAAGGATTTGAAAATGTTCCAACTTTGGCTAAAAAAAGTCTACAGATTTAGGAAATTGAGAAAACCCCAAATAGGATCAATTCAAAGAAATCCACAAAAAGACACAACATGGTCAAATTTCTGAAAGCTAAAGACAAAGTCTTAAACGCAGCCAAAGAGAAGCAACACACTACCAATGGCGGCAGGTGGGGGAGGAGGAATTCAAATGACAACTTATTTATCACCAGATACCACGGAGACTGGAAAGAAGTGGCAAACATTTTTCAGATGCCAAAACTGCCGACCTAGAATTGTAAATCCAGCAAAAAAAAAAAAAAAAAAAAAAAAAAAAATCCTTCAGGATTGAAGGAGAAATCAAGACATTCTCAGATGAAGGAATACCAGGAGAATTTGTTGTCAGTAGACCTACCCTAAAAGAATGACTGACTGAAAGAAGTTTTCTAAACATAGGAAATGACAAAAGACAGAATCTTGGAATATCAGGAAGAAAAATGAAAGCATGGAAACAGCAAATATATGGGTAAATACAATACGCTTTCCTTCCTCTCTTGAATAGGAAATGACAAAAGATAGAATCTTGGAACATCAGGAAGAAAAAAAAAGCATGGAAACAGCAAATATATGGGTAAATACAATAGACTTTCCTTCCTCTCTCGAGTTTTCTGAATTATGCTTGACTATGAAACAAACTTTATAACACTGTCTAATATGATTCTCGATGTATGAAGAGGAAATATTTAAATATTATAAACGGAAGGAGAGAGGACATAAAGGGAGATAATGTTTCTATACTTCATTTGAACTCATAAAATGTTGACACCAGTAGACACTGATAAGCTTTGAATATATAATACATAGAGCAACCACTAAAATATGCTAATCAAAATTATACACTCAAAAACATTATAGACATTCTTTTCAACACATGGGGCTGAGACAACTGGATAATCGCATGTAAAAGAATGAAATTGCTCTCTTACTTCATACCACATACAAAATTCATTCATGATGAATCAAATGCCTAAATATAAGGGGTAAAACTATAAAACTCAGAACAAAAAAACAGAAATAAGTTTTTATGACCTTGAATTTGGCAATGGATTCTTAGATCAAACACCAAAAGCAGCAATAAAAGAAGTAGATAAATTGGACTTCATCAAAATTTAAGACTTTTATGCTTCACAGGACACCATTAAGAAAGTGAAAAATCAACTTACAGAATGTGAGAAAATATTTGCAAATCATAATCTGCTAAGAGATTTGTAACTAGAATAAAAAAGAACCCTTACACTCAATACCAAGAAGAAACAATCCAATTCAAAAATGGGCAAAGGGCTGAATAAACCCTTCTCCAAAGAAGGTATATGAATGGCCAGCGAGCACATGAAAAGATGCTCAACATAATTAGTCATTAGGGAAATGCGAATTAAAATCACACTGAGACACCACTTCCTACCCATTAGGATGGCCATATCAAAAAAAAAAAAAAAAAGGAAACAGTAAGTGTTTGCAAGGAAATGGAGAAATTGGAACCCTCGGACATTGCTGGTAGAAATGTCACATGATACATCCACTATGGAAGACTATTTGATGGTCCCTCAATACATTAATGAATGAATGACCACACATGACTCAACAGGTCCGCTCATAAAGAACTGAAAATAGGTATTCAAACTAAACTTAGACACAAATATTCGTAGTGGCACTATTCACAATTGCCAAACGGAAACAACCCAAATGGCCATCAACTTATGAGTGCCTAAACATTCACAGTGTTATATCCACTCAGTGGAATATCACCACACACCTATTACGACAGCTGAAATTTAAAATAGTGGCAATGTCAAATACTGGTGAGGATGTAGAGAAATTTGATTTCTCACACATTGCTAGTAGGAATGGAAAATGGTGTAGCCATTCTGGAAAACAGTTGGCAGTTTCTTAAATAGGTACAAAACTTACCAGACTCTAAAGATATTTCAGTATTTTTGAACTGAAAGATTCTAATGGAAATTGAGACTGAAGAAGTAGTTTAAAATCTGGGGATATTGAGCAGAAATTTCACAAAGACCTTCCCTCTCCTAGGGAGGTGAAGTAGAAGACAGCAAGCTACGGAAATTTACTCCAAGGAAAAAGAGAGTGACATCTGGCTGCGCCCAGCTCACTTTTTGCTCTGACCTGAGCTGCTGCCTGCACCTGAAGACTGAAGGAGCAGAGATGCATTAGGGAGCATGCAGGAAGCAACCAGCGTTGACTCCCACCACTGTTAGCTCTCTGGAAGATCTGTAGCTCTTTCTCCCGGAAGCTTTGTAAGGCCTCCCAGACTCCATCCCCCTTACTAAGGCCCTTTCCTGCCCACTCTCTGGCATCTGTCTCTTTATGCTTCCCCTTACACCCTGCTCTGAAGGTCCACTCCTTGGCCTCTTGCCAAGAGGCATGGCCGGGCACAGAGCCCTCGGAGGGCCCTTGTCTTCGGTCCACATGCTTCCAGGTGGCTCCGGCCCAGCCACGTTCCCAGCACGCACTGGACCCAAAGGAACTGCTGGCACCTTTGCCTGGCCAGATTCTGGAAGTGAGGCCACCGCCTCAGTTCTCTCATTTGTCTGTGGCCTCACGGGGGGACTCCAGCCCGCCATGGCTCCCCGTGTTTTCCAGAGCACAGACAGGATCCAGTGGCTTTGGCTCCACCCACTCCCCTGCCCCCACCCTGCACTGGCGCCCTCCAGGGTCTGTAGCTCAACAAACGAGGGGTGGATTGGGGGACAAAGAAGAAAGTGTCAGTCTCCCTGCTGGCTGACCCCTACTTTCTACAAGCAGTTGTCTTGAAGGCCAACTCCTTTTTGGTCTCCAAGAGGGAAGGAGAGAACCAAGAGAAGAGGAAGAGGACTGTATCACTCCAAAAACTCTCTTCAAAGAAATCCTCGCCTCAGTGACCCTAAGTTTTCTCTGGTGTGACCTGGGGTGATGGTGAACTAAGAGTTACAAGCCTCTTTTACCCCAGGGATTTAATTCTGCTTTAAGCTCTAGGCATACACAGCGTGGGCATATTTATCTGACCAAGTCACTCCTCTCCTTAAAAATCCTGTAAAGTCAGCCAGGCACGATGGCTCACGCTTGTAATCCTAGCACTTTGGGAGGCCAAGGCGGGTGGATTGCCTGAGCTCAGGAGTTTGAGACTAGCCTGGCCAACATGGCAAAACCCGATCGCTATTAAAAATACAAAAAATTCGCCGGGCATGGTGGTGCGTGCCTGTAATCCCAGCTACTCAGGAGGCTAAGACAGGAGAATTGCTTGAACCTGGGAGGTGGAGGTTGCAGTGAGCCAAAATTGTATCACTGCACTCCAGTCTGGGTGACAAAGTGAGACTGTCTCCAGTCTGGATGACAAAGCAAGACTCTGTCTCAAAAAAAAAAAAAAAAAAAAAATCCTCTAAAGGCTTTTCAAGTTAGGATAAAATCCAAAACACTGAATAGAGCCTACTGCCGCTACATCCTTGCCTTATCTTACACCACGCTCCTCCTCTGTGGCCTTCTCACCATTCCTTGAATGGCCACCTCAGGACTTTTGCACATGCTGCTCCCTTGATCTGCCACTCAGTCCCACAATTAGGTCAGTCACACCCATCAGTTCTCAACTTAAGCATGACTTTCTCAGGGCAGCCAGCAGGCTGGACTGGCCTCCTACCACTTCACAGCACCCATCACAGGCTGTGAACATAAATTTATAAACAGCCAGGGACATACGTCCATGAACTCTGCAGCCAGACTGCTTCGGTTCAAATCCTGGTTCTGCCACTTAACAGCTTTCATGAATCATTGAATCTCTCTGTATTTCATTTCCTTGTCTGCAAAGTGGGAACAAAAATAGTACCTATCTGATAGCCTTGTTGTGAGGATTGTAGAGGTTTAGAAATATGTAAAAGGGCAGGTGCAACATAGTATCTGTTTAAATAAGCAATTAAGTCTGG